TTGCTTGCTGGGCTCGGCTCTCGCTCCCCCACGACCCTACAGTTGGATGAAGCGGTTGGAAAATGGCCGGACAGATGAAACTAATTATCCACAAGGCTTTTTAGCTGCAAGGGCACAATACTTCTCTCCTCATAGAAGGTAAGAGTGTGTGACAGTTGTGTAAGAAATTAAATGAAGAGCAGAAAGACTGATCAACAGGACAGCAACACAAACAATTCTCCTCAAGGCACAGAGAGGAATAGATCAGCAAAGCTTGGTGTGAAGGTGGAGACACTGTATTTACAATCCCAAGCTTGATTTGCCCTTATAGGAGCACTAAATGTACAAAACTGAGCAGCGCTGGTGGACTGTAGAGTCTGTTTTTGCCATTAGCTTGCTTGTGTGCTTAGATGACAAACGATCTGGTGTTGGTGTGTTCTGTACCATGAACCAGGCAAGCGCGTACTGTCTGGAAATGTTCCAGTCTATTTTTGTTGGCCAGTCGAACAATTTGTTAATTAGAGCAATCCATCAGTGAGTGGGGTACGACAATCACACCGAACGTGTCCCTTGAGGCACTAGTACTGCGCTCGTCTGTCTTGTCTACTTTTTTGCTACTTCTCCTTGGTTCAACAAAGCTCCTGGAAAAGAAAACTCGTCTTCAGGCATGTATTTCAAAACCCACAACCCTGTGGGTTTCAGCTGCAGTCAGTGAATCATTTCAATTGTCAGGGATCAGAAAAATTAAGTGCAGTTCCGCTCGGCGTCCCAGGGGCTTTCATTAAGCTCTCCAGCAGCCTGTGCTAACAGCAGGTGCCGTGGTGTCTTTTTAAATAAACGGGGATCGAGCTGACACTAATAAAAAGCAGTCTTGTAGGTCTCTGTTTTTATTCCAGAGCGCAAGCTCGCAGCATCATGAGAGGAGACATTATTCAGAGACTTCTGCAAGTGGGTTAGATGTCTGTGTCTCTCTATACCTGACCGTGTATCTCTCTGTCTATCTCTTTTATCGTTTATTCCTCAGTAGATTTTCTGTTTTTCTTCTACCCTCTTGAGCTGTTGAAAAAGTGACAAATACATACACTATTCTTAATCTTTTGTATGTGGATGTATACAGTAATACAGTTTTGATATACGGTCTTTATGAAGTCCCCTCTTAACCCTCTCCTTACAAGAGTAAACAAAACTGCAGACTTCGCCCTCTATTATTCAATCGACGGTAATAAAGATCTGTTAAAATCATCGACCTGTTAGAGGGACACAATTCGTCTGTCAGTTCTCGGTGAGCAACAGGATGTCGCCATATCAGCCTCCTGACCTCTAGGCGGCGCTGGGTGATCAAGGATTGAGTAGGAGCCGTGTGAAGACAGAGGGGTAAGGACAGGGGTAAGGACACCTGTTCTTTTCTGTTCATATTTGATTAACGTGAACATTAATTGTGACCAATTCTGGATATACAGCAGTAAGTTCTCTGTATATCATACTACAATATGATTTTTAAGCAAGTATTAATTTCTAGTACGCATTAGTAAATGCTTAAGATACGTTTGATAATGTATATATTATTATTTAGAAATGAAGTAAGGTTATATTGGCAACAGTCATATTATATTTAAAAAATGGTAACGGGATTTGTGGAGTTTGTGTGGCCCAGAGCATTATCAGTAACTGAGGCGACATTGTATCTTTTCACAACACTTCACTATTGTCCAATCAGTATGTCTTACATCTTCACAGCTGTTTCAGATTTTACGCAACGAGTGTAGCGAGTGTCTCCGTTTGTGATGGAGTAGAGCGCCTCTACAGCGACGTGCGATTTTGCCGTTTTGTGTTCACAGGGCGGGAAGCGCAGGCCGCCATGGAAGGAAAGCGGAAACCGTCCCTCGCTGCGCGGGAAGGACTGGTTCACCTCTCTCGCCTCCGGGCCGTGTTAACCGCTGTGTTCACGGAGAATTCACGAGTTTAATAAGACAGATTTCATCACTGCGTGTCTCCTCCGACTCTGCAAACCAGGTGATGTCCACTAATTAGCTAACGACTGTTGTTACACAATATATTGGATAATTGTCCCTGTCGACGCAATTGCGCAGGCAACGGTATGGCGCACTACTAGTCGCAGATAAGATATTATCTTACTAACATAATACCACTGGTACCAGGAGACAGTATTTCCCGGGACTCTGACGTGTCTGCCTTCTTTTAGGTTTCTTATTTAAGTGTGAGAAGCACCCGTGCTGTACTGGGAGAAGATGGAACAGAAAATGTAATTAACTTGCGTGGAGTTTCACCTCTATACCGTTCAGTGTAATGAATCACAAAAATAGACTTCATAATCTCAGGTAATCGTTAGTGAAATACTAAAAAATATTTTCTCGTTTTGAAGCCTCCAAAGATGTTTCTGTTGCAGACTTTTTAACGGACTGTCAAAGTTTTCAAAATGGCTGACTAAACGGCCCTTAACGATAAAGTCCGCTTTGTTGTGCGTTTGGGATTGCTCCCCGTGGACTGAGAGATGCGTTCAAACTGAACAGAGAGACAGTACAGTACAGCTGGGGTCTGCATTGCCAACAGGTCGCTTGCTGTCTTGAAAAAACAGCGATCGTAGTAATGTCTCATGAGCAGAGAGACGGACCCCTGAATGAATACTCATCCAAGGGCGCGATTCCAACAGCGAGAGCCTTTTTAAAAAAAGCTTTTCCCGCTTATTTGAAGACCTAAGACCTAAAAATTCCCTAAAACATACGATTCGCAAACAACACCTAGTGTAACCAACTGACCTACCACCTTAGAGCATCATTGATATTCCTAAGTTTCAGACCTATCTACCATCTGTTTATGCATTGTTTTAGTATTTGTATGTTTCATCGTGATTGCGGGGGGAAGTCTGGTATTTCTGATTTTGCAAACACAACATGTTTGTTAAACTATGGCAGTGCTGTAAGTGTTGATCTTGTTCTATTTTTTGTACGGGAGGCAGAGATAACACAACAATGCCAGCATGACACAGCTCTTCTCACCCTCCTTTCCTGCCCTGCCCTCTCTTCCCACTTTCTTCCTCTGCACGAGAGCCTGTAGTCTTGTTTTGGAATTAAAGGGCATCTGCTGGACTAGACTAAATCGGCAAATTAAAGTGACCCTGATTGATCTGAGATTAAAGAACGTGTTACAAGCATGAGTCTTTCCTTGTCTAAGAGCTGAGGGTCTGTTCTCTTTACCCTAAACCCAGGGCACCTTGGGCATGGTGCCTTCAATTATAGTGACCCGCAGTGTACCATATGTGTTCCTTTATCAGACTCTTATGGGTCTGCCCATCTTTGACATGCTGACCACCGAAAGCTTCAGCACATGTTAGGGTATGTGTACTAAAGTATTTGTGTGCCCATCGGTAATTGCTGCAGATGTCATTTTGATGCTCTTTAAAATAAGGGGGCCTGGAGCAGTGAGGTAGCTATGAGTTTCTGTGTGTTTTTTTCACTTCTGAAGCTTTTGAAAACCTGTTTCGTTTCCCGATATCTTGGCAGAAGGGGCCGTGCATGCCGCCTGTCGAGAAATGGCAGTACAATGTGCCTGCCAGTCAGTATAACTATCCAAGCCCACACTCCTCCATTAAAATCTCCATTAAAACATAAAAGAAAGAAGCTTTCTGTGTTCAATGAGGGTGTTTGATGACAGATTAGTTTAATTTGATTTTTTTATTTATTGTGAACGCGCCACGCTGCCACAATGAAAGTAACATGCCGTGACAGGCTGTTTTGTGGCAGGTCTGTGGAATAGGTGAGGCTAAGTGATTCCGGGAGCAAGGTTTTGCTGAACAGGTGACCCCTCTCTTTGTGAGCGCATTGTATCCAGTGCCCGAAGACGCAGTTGGTGCCTGTGTTGTTGAGCTGCTCTCAACCGACACACAGTGAATCAGACATGCCCAGGGTCTTCTTATGCTATTAGAAGAGTGGGTCTGAATTATGACGAAGATGGAATAGGTTAACTACCTGCAACTCCATGGGAGTTTGAATGCAGGTTTGCATCTCATGATTTTACTGTCCAGTCCGAATTGTTTGTAGTAAATGCAACAACCACAGCAGATGCAGCATGATCATAAAGTTCTGGTCTGCAAAACAGCATTATCAAGTATATGGTATTCTACTTGTTAAAGTAGAGTTGTTTCGAAAACCAGAAGTCGGTGCTGTGGGCAGTGCTGTTTTGTTATTCTGTGCTAAAACTGGATGACTCTTGAACGCTTGCCAGTATAGATGGGTTTTCTGTGCAGAAGAGCTACCTGCACAGCTCTTTTTTGCCAAGATTACAGGCCCTTCTGCAGCTCTCCCTGATGCTGGGCTGCAGTCCAGTGAGGAATGAGTTATTGGTAGCTCAGTGGGAGGAGTGAAATGAGCCTAATTTTGGATGACTAAGCGCTCCAGAAGAACAACGTAAAGAGAAATCTGAGTCGCTGTCGGCATTTTAAAAGGTTCTTGCTGACTTTGTATTGACTTTCTTTGCGGGGAGCGGGTTAACATTTGAAAGCAACAGTGAGTCATGAAATATAGGAAGGAGAAAAATTTGGAAATCCTGATGCAATATCGCATTTGAAATGAACCTGTGAGGAGAGGTCTGAGCCTCAGGCGAGCTCCCGGTGAAGCTGAGCCAGATGTCAACCTCAAAAATGGGGTCGCAAGATCTCTTCCAGAAACCGAAGCTAACCAGGTCCCTTGGAAAAGGTTGTCTGGTTGTTTCGACTCGGAGGATGTCAAATGCAAAACCTCACTGTTGCACGGAGATTCCTGCTCTCGGTGGTAGGAAACGAGTTTGGGCTTGCTCTGAGTTGAGGTCCCAGTCTTTGTTCCTTGATGAAATTGAAATTGTTGGCAGCGTCTTGCATTGTGCCTCTGTGGGCTCTGCAGTTACTGATTGGGTCCCAGAAGAACGCAGGAGCCCTGTGTTTTGGGGATTTGCATACAAGACAAATGACACACGCTGTTCCAGTCTGATCTTTCCATTCAATTCCACAAGAATGGGGTGATAATCACCTTAATAAAGATTGTCAGAGTCTTTAGGAATGATTTAGGAGAGCAAGGCTGTCTTAGGGCTGCTTGAACTGATGTAGCATTAGTTCTATATAGGCTATTAATGCAGATTTGTTCCTTTCTAAGCTTGCTTTGCCATGGATCTTTCCTGTTAAATGTCACTTGAATAGTCATTATAAACCTTCAGCCGGTTTTTGTAGGACACTCGGCAGCCGTCTGTCTGCAGTGAGAGGTCAGTGGAATATTGACCTGAATATATTGACCTGCTTTGGTTACAATGACGAGCCTGGCGTTCAGGTTAGTGTAAATGGCAAAAGCCGAGTTCAGCAAATGTCATCTTCACCACCTGCGCTTAGCAAGGTTTTAAGGTGGCACAGAGATGAAATCCAGTTCATGTAGGCGGAAGCTTTATTGTGCTGTACTCAAGGGAATATTTCTGGAGGTATCTGTTGGGCTAGACGCTGCTGTGCATCTTCGTTCCTCTTTGTGCTCTAGTGTCGTCTTTGAGACACGTTCCAGTGTTGCGGTGACAGCCGTCCTGCCAGTGCTGATCGCTCCTCCACTGAAGGCCGGGCTAAATGATGAGCGCAGCTCCGATCTGTAAAGCCAGGGCGAGGCCGTTTCAGCCCGGCTTTAAGCCGGGAAGCGGTGGCAGTTTTTTAATCGTGTTTGATCTTTTTGTTTCCCAGCCGCCGGGTGCGGCGCGCGCCACCGTGCCCTGAGGATGCTGCGACGCCTCCTGGTTGGCGGCCATGGGTGGAGGCAGGCGGGAGTCTTCTCTGCAGCCGGCGCGTGGGAGGCGAGGAGGTGGGAGCAGATGACGACACGAAGAGTCTACTTTTCCCGGGCCTTATCTGCAAAAGGTCACCTTGCCTTTTTTCGAATTGTCTTTACACCCCCCCTCATTATTTCCAAAATAGCAAGCCTGCCTGGTAAAGGTCATTCTGTGAATATTTTATGGGGTGTGTTTAGTTCGGGGCTGAGACTGGTAACAAAGGTCTCCGTCTTTTTTCCCTCTCCTCTGCAGAGGGTAAGTAGGCCATGGAGGTGTTATAGAAGAGGGGTTCCTGGTCCCGGAGGATCACACAACTGCTGGTTCTCATTCCAGACCACCTGAATTATCTCATTGAAGGCTTCATTGAACTAAGGTGTTGCTTGATTGGAGTTTTTTTTTCTGCTTAAGATATTTTGGATTTTGCTTACAAAAGCCTAAAACACTGCCTCCGACACACTGAAGATTGAGCGTTTGATCAGTTTCTGTTATTTTTTTAACATTTTATCAAACAGCTCAAATTAATTCTATAATAGTGTCTATGAAGGGTTCAATTCTGTAACCGAGAGCTCGGCTGGAACACAAACCAACAGGTGGCTGTGTGGGCCTCCCGGGAGGCTTAGGAGTGGAAGAAAATTCCAAGAGCAAAAATAGCACTCATTTTACTTGAGAAAATCAATGGGGCTCGTCAGTCAAAGCAATGGATTCAGATGTGAAAAGAGTTTTTAAAAAAAAAGCACAAAAAGGAAAGCTCAGTGCAGCTATGGAGATGCTAGGCTGGTGTGTGAATTCATTTCAGTTTCGGAACACATGGGAGTCCTAAACTCACCCCAGCCTGAGATGGCAGATTGGGGGCTTTGCGAGAGTGAGACATGTGTCTGTTTTCTCATGCCAGGCAGCTTGGCAGCAGTAGGGTGGCATCAATCCCTGTGAACCCTGTGGTCTTGGGGAGCTCTGCCATTGCGAATTGTTTAAATTGGGTCTTATTTCATGGCTCGTGACTTGCTCAGTGCTTGTAATGTGTGAGTGGCTGAGATGTGCACGCTGCCCGGGCCCTCTGTACAGAGGATAAGGGGCTCCAGTTGTCTTTGCAGACTCAGTCACAAATGGAGATTAGCCGTCACTGAGCTGAAACAGCAGCAGAGAATTGCACTGCCTGTGTGACTCCCTGCAGTGACCGAGGAAATGAGTGCACGCTCGCCCCTATAATATTGCTGAGTTGAACAGATTTGACAGAACTTGTTTGTCAGCTTAGCTCAATAAGCACGTAATTGTAGCAAGTGTTTGGAGAGAAGGTGCATTTCATCTCCGTGCCAGTGGCCGTTACTGGTCAGATCAGGCTAAGATGGAACACAGATTGAAATTGTGCCGATTAACTC